CTTTGTTCGAGGAGCACCTTTATTCCTAATATTCCGTCGTATGGTATCGAAAAGTCTTCTGGTGCTACGTGAAAATCAAAATATTGGCAATTTATAGGTATTCTTACTGCTCCTAGTGTTTGTATTGGTTTGTCCGTAATGCCTGAAAGTAATATTTTTCTGTCTTCTAATATTGCGTTTATAGGGATTTGGTCTTTTTTTATAATATTCAATTGTGCACCGCTGTCAATGAGGAGGTTGCATTCCTTTCTTGTGTAAGGATTTTCTATTGTAATGTATTGTAATAGGTTTTCCAATCTCAGTGAATACATTGCCATTCTTGTTGTTATTCTTTCTTCTTTTATGATTTGATTATCGGGCAAGTTGGGTCCTAGCGTTTTTTTGTCGATGGTAGCAGAGCGTGGTTAAGGCAAATAAAATGATAGTGTGCACCACATGAGTAAAAGAGGAAAAAAATATATTCAGAACAAGCAAAAACGTTTTCTCCAAGCACAAGGTCCAAGCGCAGAAACATCGAACATCGAGGGCGCGAAACGGAAGCGCCAAAACGGCGCCGCAAATTGGCGCGAGGATATCTAACGCATAGCGCGAATTTCAACATTTTTTCTGTTCTGATTCATTCAGCTCTGTACTGTCGTTAATTTTATATGTTTCGAGCGGCTCATCATTGCTCCTCCCTATGCGCTCTCTCCAGGAGGAGTCTATTCGTTTCCCTGTCTGTGCTGTTGGTGGTTTTGCCCTCTGTGGCATTCTTCTGTTGTGTGATTCGTACTTTTGCACAGGTTGCAGATTTTTCCGGCGCTGTTTTCCAGGCTTTTTAGTTTCCTGCATGCGTCTATTAAGTGTCCTGGCTCTTCGCAGTAGGAACAAATATCTCTTTTTTGTGCTCGTAGTTCGATGGCTTTCAGTTTTCTACATTCTTTTATTGTATGATTGGGGGTTCTACAATAGTCGCAAAATTTTCGCGGTTCGTTCGTGTGTCTCGGGTTATCTCTGTTGCTATTATTATTTCTGGAGTAGTTATTGCTGTTAAAATTTCCATTGCCATTATTATTTCTGAAGTGATTATTGCCGTTAAAATTTCCGTTGTAGTTATATTTTCTCTGGAAGTTACTATTATTATGGTTAAAATTGTGATTATCTCCATTCAAGTCATTTGATCTACGTTGAGGGTTTCTCAACTCATAGTAGCTTCCTGCCGAGTGACCTAATTGGTTACGATTTTGGTATTTAATTGGGTGTGTCCTAGTTTGGAAGACTCTTGCCCCTTCGCATTCTTCTGCATCATGGCCTTCTTCGTTGCAGTTTGTGCACATGATCAATTGGAGTCTATTGTTTTTCGTTAATGGACAGTGTTTTATAGTATGGCCCAATTTATTGCAGAGTGGGCACATAGGTGTTGGGCAATTTTCGGCTGTATGGTATCTACTATTATAAATTTCGCAGAGTTCCGTAATTTTTGGGAATCTTGTGCAGGTGTTTGGATCGTGACCGCTTCCTTTGCACTTCCAGCATGTTTCGTATTCAATTATGAATGGGCATTGGGTGACCGTGTGACCCATTACTTGGCAATATTGGCAATAATTTCCTTTTGATCTATTCATTCTACATGCGTCTATGGAATGTCCCTGGGTGTTGCAATATTTACAAATAAGCTCTATCTTGTTTCTAGCGAATTTACAATTGTATGATATGTGGTCTTTGTTTTTGCAGTATACACATGCCGCGTTATTGCAAAATAATGCTTCGTGGTTTAGTTCTTTGCATATTTGACACGTATACGTTACTGGGTTTGCGTCGTATTTCTCGAGGCTACATAGTACGCTAGCTGAGTCGCCGCCTCTCAGCATGTTTTGTTTCTTTAACCTTGATTCGATGTCGATGGCCTCTTGTATAAGGACGTTTAAATCGTCTTTCTGCTTTAATTCTATTCTAATTTCCTGCTTTAGCCCATTTTTGAAGCTTTTTACTGCGTCGTTTTTAATCGTCCTGTCAAAGTCCTGTATGATTTGTTGGTTTATGCCTGTTTCCATTCTTTTTAAGTCTTTAATTTGTATTACTAGTTCCTGTAATCTATTCCCGTAGCTAAGTACTGTTTCGCCTGGTTTTTGTGTTAGTTCTGTTAATTTTCCATATAAACTGTGTATATTTTCGGTGGATGGGAATAATGACTTTATTGCCTGAATAAAATCGTTTACGTTATTTATCGGTGAGTTTATTAGTGCTTTGTATACCTCTCCTTTTAATTTAATTTTTAGGATCGGGATTAGGCTTGGTTCGTCTACGGGTGTTATAATGTTTTTAGCATGTTTTACTTTTTCAACGTATTCGGTAACTGAAATATTTTTCCCGTCGAATTCGGGTACTAGGTTTGCTACGTATTTCAAGGGTAATCTTAGAGGTTGGATTTGAATTTGTTGGTCTGTCATTTTCTTTCTCGGACTTACGCAGGTGAGTGTTAAATTTCCTTCGCTATTCTCTCCGTCCAGATTTCCTATTAGGCTTGGTTGTTCTGTGATTCCTTCAATTTCGAGTAGGGATATGTCGTTTTTGCAGCTGTTGTTTATTGTTTCGTTTAGTATTTCGGTATTGTTTCTGTTATCCTGGGGACTTATTCGGATTAGTGGGGATGCGAAAGTTCCTGTTTGTTTGTTATTATCTGCTTCGTTACTTGGGTTAATTGTAAATCCTATACTCTTGTTTTGCCAGTTGGCACTTCCGTTTTCCGTTTGGTTAGTGTTTACTGTTAGATTTTTAACATTCTTTGTTCTGGGTATTGCACCTAGATTTGTATTCGCGTTTGACGCCTCGGCTGTGACTTCTGGTGTGAAGTCAAATGTTCTTCGTTCTGTTGGTGAGCGCGGTGTTTTACGGCTTTGTAAAAAGGCTGACGCGTAATTACGATCTTCTACAATACTTTTAAGTTCAGGATTTTCTTGTGTCCTGCTTCTTGTTAATCTGTTTCCGTCCGTAGTATTTTTGTTATCCGTTGGTTTAAGATTTTTATTATTCATTTGAAATTTTCATTATTTGTGATTATTTAGAGGGTAAATGAGTTCGTTTTATATTTAAGAGATTTTTATGTATGCTTCGTAGCAGTATTTCAATAAATTCTTGTGTTGTATATAAAATTGATTCGAAAGTGAATGACTTGGATTTTTCTAAGGTTGCAGACAAAGATTTATATTCTCGAGCTAGATTTTTTTCTTGAGTCTACCCTATATTACAGGTTAGTAGCGTTCGTTGGCGTTCGATTCGTACCGGAACCACTGTGAAGTCGCAGGGTCCCCTCTCTCACCGAGTCCTCTGCGCACTTGTATAATTATCTCTAAGCTACTGATTTGGTAGGGGTTCTTACTTACCTTTCGCTGGGCGCGGATACCTGTAGAGATGAGTCGTCTTGGTTAGTGGAGTCGGTAGGGTAGATGGTCTAATTGAGGTTCACGCACTTCTGATCACAACAAATGTTTATTTGGTTCGAGTACAACCTTTAACTTGCGCGCGCTTTACGGATGAGGTTGCTCTGTCGGATCCCTGAGTTCCGTAGCAGAGTCGTACTTCGCGGAGTTAGGTGCGCGTCTTAGAATTGGTATCTCGGATTTTCGCTAGACGAACTGGCCGATTCCGAACAGCTTTCGCGGATCGCTTAGGTGATCTGATCACTACAAATTCTGGGGTTGATAAAAATTATACTGTTCTGTCTACACGGGTTCTGTACTGGTTCTGCGCGATATTGAATCTGTCGCGAGCGGGCTTGGTCGCGTTATTATATATTGATGAGCGAGGTCAATCGTTTGGTTGTCAGTTCGGGTGAACCACCTCGTTCGGATTGTCAGCGTTCTTGCGATACGTTGACCCGAGCGAGCTGCTCACTCAGACTTTTCGGAACTATGAATTCGGATAATGAAATAAGAGTTTAAAGAATGTGGATGGCGAAATAAGGGTTCCAAGAATGCGTCACAGGACGTGACAGAATATATTGGAAATGGGTATTAAACTAAAAATAATGATACAGTTTCTAAAACACAAAATGAATTTATTTCTCAAATGAACACTCAGAAGACGTCTGCACAGTTTGAAAACTAAAGTTGAAGTGAGGAGTTGTCAGCGGAAAAACCCCTATTGGATCCACTTAGAAAACTAAATATAGAAATGCCCGGAGTTTTATTGCTCAGGCCATTCCTGGAAAACTCTATACACCCATCGGTCCCCAACCTAAAGACCGTTGTATAAACCATGACTCTGTCCGTATCCTTTGACACTGGACTTGTTTTTGTTACCTGATTGTTTCCAGATAAACTAACAGAATAAATGCTGAAAATATAGAAAAAGAAATCATATTACTATATATTGCTACATTATACTCAACAATATTAATTTGGAATAAAGAATGTATTGAAAAAAATAAGATTTAATATTTCTTTTACTTTAAACATATTTCCTTATATATCCTACGAGAAAGTAATTGCATCTGTTTTCAGAGTACGTTTTTCTCATTTGCCCTAGTATTTCATTCCGCACTGTTTAATTTCTGTAATGTAACTATTCAACTATTCTACTCCATAATTTTTTGGTTGTAATTCCCTCATCAATGTCTGAATAAATGCTGAAAATAAAGAAGAATAAATCATATTATTATATATTGATACATTTTACTCAACAACATTAATTTGGAATAAAGAATGTATTGAAGAAAGTAAGATTTGATATTTCTTTTACCTTAAACATACTTCCAGATATATCTTGTAAGAAAGTAACTGCATTCAATTTCCACATGTTTTTCACTATAACCTATACCTGTCAATCAATCAATCAATCAACTCAACTCACTAATTTCGCCCCTAAGGGCCGGCGCTTTTGGGGACTTATCTGTCCCCTGTTGCGTGTGGATTTAGTGTTCTAGGGATATTTAGAATTTGCCGAACGTGGGTAAGGTGCCCGTGGAGCGCTGAAGCGCTCTGCTCGCGGCGCGGCTTTTAATAAATCAAAACACCTTTGCGTAAGAAATAAAAATTTATACGACTTTATTTCGTGACTATAACTTTGACAAAAATGTATGCAGGCTGCCATCCCCTCCTCGCTAGATCCTGAATCCTCCCTCAGGATCATCCCTGGCCCAATGGTGGAGGAGCCCATCCCTGTCCGGAGGCGGTCCCTCTCCCTGGCTTCGGTCCACCCTTGGGCGAGTGAAAGATGGTGGTGCCCCGCCAAGACTCGAGAACGATTCCATGCACACGTGCTAAGAGAAAGCGTGGGATCCAGAGAGAACGAAAGAGAAAAAGGTCTCGCGCTAGCGAGCCAAGGCAACCCTTAAGAGAATTTACTACCCTCTGTATATAAGCAGGATGTCGAAGAGACTTCAACAGTTTCAAGAACCAACAGGATTTTCGTTAAGAGTAACGAATTAGATACGGCCCGCAATAAATTAGTTTCTTAAAAACTTCAAGTGTGACAGTCTTATTTCTCCGGATTTCCAACTCTCTCTCAACACGATCACTCGCGCTGAAAGGTTTACAGTGTCCTATCTTTTATTTGTTTATTCCTTTGAATTTTGGCTCCTAATTTATGAGCATTGATATAACATAATGCAGACATGCTGCAACCATACTCTTATGGCATCGTCGCCATATTACATTTCATTCAACGCTTGTGATTACAAGCTTGCAGCTAAATTCACTCGATATTGCACACATACATACAGGCGAGGTTTGCAACACCCCGTATTGCGCAATGAACCCTATCGGCCACGCGCCTTCGGGGATGTGCTGGCAGCCCCGCCAACACCAAACCCCGCGCATTTTTAAATTTCGTCACTTATACCTGTCTTAAATCTTACTCAGTCCATACTTTTAGAGTCTGCTCATCTTTTGTCCGAATCGGTGTGTATGTGTGTGTACGTGTGCGTATGTGTCTGTGTGACCCCTTTTAATCGCCTCTTACGACAGGTAGGGGATACCGTGGCCGTATTCTAAGCTCCCCGAGCCACAGGGGGTATCAATCAATCAAAACTTTCACCCCGATTTGCTTTTCGGGTGCTTTAGCACCCCCGAAGGCAAGGGGTTGGCATTTTTGGGGACTTTTCCGTCCCCGTGTTGCCCAACGAACGCTCTCGTGCCCGCGCCTAGGGCCAAACTCCCGCGCATTTTGAAAAGCTAATTTTCCTCTTTGTGCTTTATCTTATTTTTACATGTTTTCGCTTTGTTTTTAATCCATACTTTTACATTTTCACTCGTTCCATACTTTTGTATCCATGTATTCCCTCGTTTCTATAGTCATGTTTTCTATCGTATTTTGTATCGAAGTGTATCAGCGCTTCTTATTTGAATTACAGATATCTTTTCTTTACAATTTTACAACTTAATGCCTATCCTAGTTTACATTTGATTATTCTATTACTATTGTTAGAAATTTATTTACATACTTTCCTTACTTTGAGTATTTCACATTTTCACTCCCACACACTCCATTCACACCATCATACTTGCAGTTATCCTTCCTTACTCCTTATCAGCCGAGCTATCGGTAACCATCCTTCAAGTCTACTATTTCTTTGAACTTCTAGTTTACTCTACTTTGTCAATATCATTTAATTCCTTGCTGACTCTATTCTGTTGCCTTGAAGGTCTGATTCCGTTTACATGCTCGACATGTTTAGTTCGCCATTACCGCATTCCCAAAAGGGGTATGATTTTGTCTTTTCTTTTCTTTCTTTTACAGGTCGTTCATCCTTCCACTCATCCTAGGGACGGACACCCGGCTTCAGGGCCCCCGCACGCGGTAGTCGGCTATTTTGGGCCAGGGTCTTTTATTATTTCTACCATTTTACTTTCGCTTCTCTATTTTTCTTATAAAGATTATAAACCCTCCACTTTGTCATTTAATTTTTACCCGCCATGCGGCAGGCGCCCCCAGCCGGCGCCGCCTCCATCCCTCATCCTCTTTCTCGCTTCACACTCTCTCTCTCTCATACTCACACCCGCTAGAGCCGGTTTTACCGAGAATAGCGACTCCATCATGCCACGCACGCGTATTAAATTATTCTTCCCGTTTTTATTAGAAATCTCGCAACCGCCACGCATACAGCCGGTCTTTCTTTTCTCACAAGGTCTTGGTATTGTGGTCTGCCGCTGAACCCCTTTTCTCGCATCTTCGCTACGAATTCGTCCCTGATGTGATCGTACTTCTCGCATTCCCAGAGGACGTGAGCCAGGTCCTCCACGTGCTCTCTACAGTCGCATCCATGGTCCTCCACCACGTGTTTCCTCGCCAGTGACTCGCTCAGGTTGTAGTGGTTGGCTCTTATTCTGCTGAGCACCGATATTGTCCTTCTGTCTTGGGTAACGAATTTTTCAAACCACGGTTTTCGGCGCTGTTTGTTCGTATCTATTTCGCTAAAGTATTTAACATCTTTGTATCGCGCTTCGTTTCTCATTTCCGTCGCGAACTCTTTCCACGCATTCCTTACCAGATTCACTAGCATGTCTTCGTACGGTAACGCGTATTCACAATTCGGGGTTTGTTCCGTGGCCCTTTTGGCCGCCGCGTCCGCTCTCTCATTACCCGCGATTCCTCTATGCGCAGGCACCCACACAAATACCACTGGCGTTTTTTTCCGGTTCACAGTCTCATTCAACGGTAAGTTTTTCATTAAGTATATTTCACATAATTCTTTCATAATTTTCGCCACAATTTCTCCTCTTTTCATCTTAACAATGTCTTTAATATCTTTGTTTTTTGCAGCTTCTAGTACCTTCAACACACTCGCAGAATCACTATAAACGAGCAGTCTTCTACCATCACCGGACTGACTGTACAACCTGAGGGCCTCCGCCACCGCCACTGCTTCCGCAGTGAAGATTGTGGCTCCAGGGTTCATGCTGAACGTATTCTCCTCCCAGTTATTTTGCTGTTTCGTCACCACGGCTGCACCCACCGCCTGGGCTCCCTCTCGTTTCGACCCATCGGTGTACATCTCGGCAAATTCCTCGTCTATCGAGCCGTACCGCTGTCTGGTTTCAGCTGGGACACTCATCAGGGCCGCTTCCGGTAATACCATCATCTCACCCGCTCTCCATTTTATCCAGGGTTCAGGGCAGGCCGCCAATTCCACCACCGGACGCTCCGCGCCAGCCCTCGCTGATTCCATCAGGTCTATGTTTTTTCTGAAAATTTTTATCACATAAGTCCATTTGTTTTCCAACCTATTACTGAACCCTTCCCAAGCTTCGTACAGCCATTCGACGAATGCGCCCCTACGGTTTCCTATTTTTTTAAGGAGGTATTTACCCGTTAGCAACTCTATTCTATTTCTAAACGCCATTATACCCGTTTCCACGTGCATGACATTGGCTGGAGTCGATATTCTATATCCCATCGCTACCCTCATCCCTGCATTCTGTATCTTATTCATTCTATCTACATTGTTAACACTGCCATCGGTATATATCATAGCCCCGTACTCGACCACCGACCTCACGAGCGCCTTGTACAGTACCAACATGATTCTTTGATCGACTCCCCTCGCGATATGCGCGATGTACCTCAGCATGTGCAACCTGTCCCTAGTTGTTTTTTCAACGTTTCTAGTGTGCTCTTTAAAGTAGCATTTCTTATCAAACATAACCCCCAAGAACTTTGCCTCGTTTGATTCTGTTATTCTAGTATTTCCCACCCTTACTTCTACAGGTTGGTTGGCTCTGTGGTCTGAGCTCCTTGTTCTTCGCCATCTTGATCAATTTACTATCACCGTTTTTTCTATGGACAGGCCTAGCCCTATTTTGTTCAGGTTCTCTACAATCTTGTCAAGGGCATTTTCCATTTTTCTACCGTTACCTATTCTTTGATCTTCCGTCGAAACGTATATGCCTATGTCGTCCGCGAATTGTAGTTTTACTATCTCTTCATCGTCAATTCGCTCCATAATGTCGCTTGTGTAGATATTGTACAGGATAGAGCTCAGTACCGATCCCTGGGGGAGTCCTCTTTTTATTGTTCCCTCCACATCTTCCTCGAATCTTCTGATCACCGTGACAGTTCTGTCTTCTAGTCAGCTCTTAATATATTTGAATATTTTTGTTGGGCACCTTTTTTTCATTAGGATTGACAGGAGCATACCATGATCGACCCTGTCGTATGCCGATTTAACGTCGAGAAACGCCGCTAGTGTGGCTCTGCCATTGTGAAAGCCACTCTGTACGTCTGTTCTTATTCTGATCAGGTTATCGATCGTCGATCTTCCCCTTCTGAATCCGTTTTGCCACTCGTGCATGATATTATTTTCTTCCGCCTAATTAACCAACCTGGTGTTCACTATTCTTTCCATTAGTTTACCCATACAGTTGGTCAGAACTATCGGTCTTAACGCCTTTTTCCCGGGTTTGTCTAGGAGGATCACCGCAGCCGTTTTCCAGCTCGGTGGTATCACCCCCATTTCCCATATCCTGTTGAACAGTCTTAGCATTATCTTTAGGAAACTGAAGGGCAACGTACCTATCGTTTTATTGTCAATTCCATCTTTTCCCGGGGCTGACTTTTTATTCATTCTTTCTACGGCACTCGAGATCTCCTTCGTGCTCAGTGGTCGCTCATATGCTTCGGCTGGTTCACTTGCATACATTATCCTTTGTTCTTGCGTAGTAATCTCGGCGCCCGTTGATGATGTTAGTATATCATCGTCAAATATTTTATCCGCTTCCGCTTGTTCCAGCTCACTTCTTTCCTCGTTGGTCATGAGATTCTGTTGGTGTTTTCTCCCCTTTTGTAACCCTTTTATATTTTCCTATAGGGATTTACAGTCCGAGCTGTGATTGATGCTTTCCGCGAACTTTTCCCAGGATTCTCTTTTCCTCTTTTTGACCATAGCTTTCATTCTCCTGTCACATATCTTATAGTTGTTCCATGTATCTTCGTTTGGTCTTCTGTTAAAGGTGATAAGGGCTCTCCTTTTCTCTTCCCTTACTCCATCGCATTCGTCGTCCTACCACCTTTGTCTATTTCTTTTTTTTCTGCTTTCAGTGGCCCTACCTTGATTGTTGTGAGTTTGCTTAATTTTCGTGGCTCCCGCCGCTTCTAGGCCTCTATATATTGCCTCTCTTAGTTTTAGTTCTTCCTCTATTTCATTTCCCACCTCATGCTCCTCACTCAGCATCTCGCTGGCCTCAGCATCCATCTTCACTTTGAACATGTTCCAGTTGATTTTTTTGTATTCGTATCTTCTGGTCGAGAATTTTCTGCCCTCTATGCCAGGTGGTACGCTCATTTCAAGTTTCAAATTTATGATTTGGTGGTCAGACCCCAACGTTAATCCTGAGTTTTCAGTGTTTATTATCTGTAACATTTCAAAGTTTGTGATTATTAAGTCGATATTTGAGGCCCTACGAGAGCCCGAAGCGGGGCGTGACAGGGTGTCTCGATTCGCCACGAATAGATCTTTTTCATCAAGGACGTTTTCCAGTCTTGTCCCTTGCGTGTCATTCTCCACACAGTTCCATCCCGTGTTTTTCGCATTCATGTTGCCCATGATTATTGTTTTGGAGTTTCCTTCCACATTTTCCATCAGGTTCTTCCACTGTATGCGCGACGTATTTGTCGCTGGATTTCTATATACCAATATCAGGTCGACACTTTGCGCACCACTCCCAACAGTAATCGCCAAAGTTTCCATATGTGTATTGTCTATCAATGTCTTTTCTTTCGTCTTTATTTGTTCCCTGATAATGAAGCAGAGTCCTCCTTTCGTCGCTCCTCTTCTATTACCTCTGTTATTGCTATCCAAAGCGTCTCTTCTTATCACTTTATATCCTTTAAAGTGCAGGTCAAATTCCGGATACAACCATGTTTCCATTATTGCGAGGATATCGTATTCATCAATCATTGCTTTTATTTCGGCGGTTTTGCCTCTCATACTCCTTGCATTCCAGATACCTACTAGCATTTGTATTAGTGTCAGATAGTATGCAGTTTTTATTTTTATTTTTTTTATTTTTATCTCTTAAGGCTACCTTTGTTAGTTCTACTGAGTATGTATGTATTTATATAGATTGTACCTTATATCTAGCAAATAATTCTTCTTTTTGGTATTTTTGATTTTATATTTGTTTTTTTTTTTTTTTTTTGAAACTGGGTAATATAATTATGGACGAAGAATAGATATTAATTGATACCTTACTACTAACTGTACAGTTATTATAATTTATGTATTTATTTCCAGTCACAGATGTAGATCTGTTGGAATGTAATTCTTGTTGATCTCTTTTTCTTCCTGTCCAACTTCCTTATCCATGGTTGGTTCGACATCCTTAACTTCTATTTCCACCGTCTGGACTTCCTTTTCCAAAGCCGGTGGTGGAGGAGTTTTTGGCCTGTCGTCCTCTTCCATTTCCACACCCTTTCCTACTTCATGTTTCTCTCTTTCTTTTTCTTCGTTCAGTCTTTTTATTTCTTCACTTCGTTTTTTTTGTCTAGCGAATCGTTTCGCCTCTTTCTCTGGGATAATGGTTTCGTAATGAGGTCCGTTACCCCACCAGTCTTCTTCGGAGTCGACTGGGATTTCATTTTCCTTCCGGTACTTTTCCTTACGTATTTTTTCTTCAAGATTTTTTACCAGGTTCCTTTCTCTGATAATGGTTATGATTTGTTCCATTATTTCCTCATCTGGCTTGTCTCTAATTTCGTCCAGCAACTTATAATTTTCTCCTCTTATTCTATTAGTAATCCGCTTCTTTTTCATCTCCTCCTCATGGTTGTATCCTTCATATATGTTTATTTTTGGGGCGATATTCACCCAAGGTCTCACTCTATCGTGTGGTACTCGATTCATTATTCCCACTCTTCCCTCTCTTTGGGCTTTTCTAATTTCTCTTTCTTCATTTAGGTCTCGATATCTGAAGGTGCCTCTCGTGTCCTCTCCACCATACTTCCTTCCTCCTTCGCTTTCGTCACTTGAAACCCTTTCTTGGTTCCTACGGTAGCCCGTATCTCTGTTCCACACATTTTGTCCTCTGTTTCTTTCTGGGACATTTAGTCTCTCCCATTTGTCCCTTTTACCCCTTTGCTCCGTTCTTAGTTTTGGGAAATCCTTCTCTCTTTCAATATCTAAATCAAACCTTCTTCCTGTATACTTATCTCTCAGGATTTCTCTGGCTTACGCCATAGTCTTCTTTATTTCACTTTTCCTTTGAAAGGTGAGACACTCTCTTGCGTTTGACCTATGCGCCTCACCGCAATTGATACATTTTTGTTCTTTTTTGCAGTCCCCGTGGAAGTCTTCACTATACATCTTACATCTGCGGAACCTTGATTTGCATACTGCCTGCAGGTGACCGTATCGGAAGCACCGGAAGCATTGTTTTACACTTTCTATGAATGGTTCTATCTTTAGCCACACATGGCCCTGCCCGATGTAGAGCCTCGTCGGGAGGGAATCCCCCTTGAATGTTAGTAATACAGCGTCGCTGTCTTCCCAGAGAGCTTTTCCACCCCTCAGTCTTCTCCTTTTCAATCGTTGGGCTTCAAAGTCTCCTTGTCCAGTCATTACGCAATTTTAGAGCTCTTCCAATGTGCCTTCCCACTCTTTCGTAACCCCTCTTGTGGTACGTTTCCTCCTTGGGATATATGCTTCGTATCCCGCCTCCTTTTTTCTCCCATATTCTATTATTCTGTTGGCTTGTCTTCTTGTACCCAGTGTAATTTCCACTCTTGAAAAAGCCACCATCCTTATTTCTCTTATTCTTGCACCTAGAATATTAATTATGTTATATATCTTTACCAGGTTATATTTCCTCTTATTTGATAATTTTTCTTTATTTAAGCTTACGCATATTGTGTATTCGCCACTTTCCAATTCTGCTACGTATAACGCCTCGCTTTCTTCCTTTGTCTTATAGTATGCGTGTTCTCTTACCTTATTTTCGCTTATTTCCTCTTTATCCGTGGATTTTCCTAGTCCGTGTTCCTTGTTCTCGGTTTCCTTGTTCTTGCCAATGTCGTCAATTATTTTGTATTTTTGCTTTATTCCTGTGCTCTCAATTATTCTTACTTTATTAGCCTTTGTATCTTTCTTCACATCTTTACCGTTATTTTCTCCCTTTGTCTTAGTTTTCAAATCCTTTACGTTACTCTTGCTACCAACTGTTGCGTTACTCACCTCTTTGTCCTCTCTTCCTCTCTTCTATTGGTCTAGTCCTCGCGCGTTCTTGTCTGTCATTGGCTCCGCCATATTGCCAACCTTAGCACTATCTGTGCTGTTTCCCGCTTCTTCTTCTTTCGAGGATCCTTCCTTGTATTTTCTTTCGACTATTTTCCCAGGGCTACTTTCCTGTAATTTGATCATATCATGGTTTACTATTCTTTTATTAGATTCATTACCTTTTTCATTTTCTCTTCTTCTCAATGCTTCAACTTCGTCATAGCGGGTTAATGGAGGCGCCTCTCCATAACCCCTTTCCTCCACCTTATTCTCCTGTTCCACCTTTCTCGCCTCTCCGCCTCTCTGTACTTTTATTTAGCTTCTCTTATTATTGATGGTGCTGTTATTAGACTAAACAAAACAAATATATTATTAGTTTAAGCTTTATATTCTGTTTTCTTCTCTGCCGCCACCGATACACTATATCATCAATCAATCAATTAATCTCCATCAATGAACCTATACCTGTCTAACGTTACACATAACTATTTGACCTTGGATATATGTAATCATATACTTCAGCATGCATACGCATTCAAATAGCATAGGAATTTAAATCGACGAACAATACCACTATCTGCCGATTTCCAAAAGCAATGATTTTAAAACATATGGAGTCCAAATGGCACGAATCCAAATGGCACGACGTCCAAAAGGAACGCGTTCAATCGGTTCGGCGCCCAAAAGGAACGCGTCCAATCGGCACGGCGTCTAATCGGGACCGTCCAATCGGGACGCGTCCAATCGGTCGACGTCCAAGTGGGCATCACTCGCCCGTAACACCTTTCACATCTAATAGGAGATATTTCTACGATGATCCCACTTGCAAACATTTATGGTATTCCTTATTGTTAATGACTATTGTTGTTGTAATTATCCAATACGAACGGTAAACCACCTTACGGCATCCTACAAATACTACATGTTTCACTAAAAAGTGTGAAATAAAATAATTTATAATAAAAAAATCCGACTTCGAAATTCACTATAAAGTGTAAAATAATTACTATTTCATTTATACCAGTATTCCACAGCTATTAATAAAATCTACCTAATCGTTAAATAAGATACTAAATACATTTCAACTTCTTCGGAGGCGGTGCGAAATTAAAAATACCTGAATATACGATCCAGCCAATAACGATTTGATTGCGGAATGGCAAACTTGGTAATTAATAAGTCGTAAAAAAACGTTCAATTCGAAACGTTATAGATACGGCAGAAAACGTTTGTAATTGTAACGATTGTATCAGAAGGTGGTAGCACTTCTGATGTACGTGTATACTGCATTTCACGAGAGACCATACTTAATTCGCGCAGCTCACTAGGTCTATGGAGACTTTTAATAACGTGTGTGATTCTCCTCTACAGCTTGCTTTTTATTTTGCGATCATATAAATGGTGGACAGAAATATATGACGTACGATAATTGATAAGCGATGATGGCATGGTATAGATACACGATACAATGAAGTTCCAATTATTTTTCAAAGAAAAAATTATATGATCGTAAAGTAAGAACGTTATTAAAAACGTTATAATCACACACGTTATTAAAAATGTCCTTAGACCTAGTAAGCTGCGCGAGTTAAGTATGGTCTCTCGTGAACTGCAGTATAGTTAATCCGCAATTGGTATGTTGATAACTCGTTCTTTTTAAGGATACCTCTTCTTATTATTTCATTGGCTGATCTTTCGCTCCATACACCGTGATATGACAGCGTGACAGTTGTAAAGGATACGTCGCGGACGCCGTATCTTTCCTTTATGGCATGATGTAGGTGTTCATACTTCTCGACTTTGTTCTTGTGCGATGTATCTAAATCCATGTGCTCACTAATTTGTGTATCAACCATGATTGCCGTGGTTCCTTGTTTAGCTACGAGGTCTGGCTTTCTAAGTCCTTCGGCTGTTCTGAAGTGAGGCTCAGCCTCGACCTTCTCGTATTTTTGCTCAGAGCTCTTTTAACGTAAGCTGTTACAGCGTTATGCCTCTCTATTCTAGCTCTGTGTGTTCGGTGGCATTGTTGAAGCACATGGTTGAGCGTTTCAGCTACGTTGCAGCCACCTCTGCAGATACGGTCTGCGCGTTTACCGCGCGATGTCCT